AAACATTGTGTGCTGATTGGGTAGCTAAGTTACTTTATGAAAGTAACTATAAAGGAATAAAGCTCAAAATCTGATATCAAAAAACACGGTCGTGTCTCGGCGTTAAAGAGTACGCCTGAGACGGATTTATTATATAGGATACGTAGTCCATTTAAATCGTACACCTTGAATATCTCACTCATTTTTAATGATACAAAATAAATGTTTCAGATAAAAGTTGAACGATTTTGAAGGTTTCGACGTAATTTAGTCACATCGTTTTTTTTTCTAGGTGGCATTAAAAAGATATGAAGGTCATTTCCACTTTTTTAAGGCCATCACACATAAAATCCTGTAAGATCGTAAGACGTAAGAAAATCGACCAATCCCAATTGAGTATTAGGTTGTCCGTCTCCCCCACTCAATTAGGATTGGTCAATTTACTTACGCTTACGTCTTACGACCTTACGGGATTTTATGTGTGATGGTCTTTAAACGGAATTTATTATGTATATGATTTTTTACATAATAAGATTCTTCTAATTATTTTGCATCTAAAAGTTATTTTAAAAAATTGCATTTTGCAAATTACATGTCAAGGTCATTGAACAACATTTAAAAAATTTTAGCCATTGCTCGGACACCTTGGATAATGTTAATACCGAAGGTACTGTAACTTTCAAGCTTTATAACTCGAGTTTTACTTAACCAAAAATATTATTATAGTTATATACTTTACAAAGCTCTTGACATCAGCTGTCAGATTCTGGAATCAAAAATAGAGCGTTCCATTTAAAAAAATTGGTACAACCTTCATCTGACCTTGAGTGTGACGCCACCCGATCAACCGAGCTCAAACCGATAAAACCAATAAATAAATTTTTTAAGCTCTTTAACTTTTGTCTAAAACATTTTTCTATAAAACTTATATTTTTCGAGTTATTCACGGGTTTCCGATCTTTTTTTACACATTATGTATAATAGAGTAAAATATGACAATATTGCACGTTATTTATTTTCATTTTCACAGCTACGCAGCATGCAACAATACTGAAGTTAGCTACACCAAAATTCACATACAAGTTGTGTAACACAAATGCACATTCGAGTTGTGCAATAGCGCCGAGAAACGAAAGAATAAATCGGAATGAATCTGCACTGAAGCAAAAATAGAACGAACTTATTTGTTATATATAACTTAATACCACATTTATCTATAAAATCTGATGGTGATAAACATTTTTTACTGATGAATTCGGATTCAGCACCAAAATTACGTAGGAAATTACTATTTTAAGTATTACTAATTGTTTTTTTAGGTTTCTTTTAATTTCGCAGGCTTGTGTATAATGGATTAATTATCTGCAAATAATATAAAATTTAATTAAACTTATTTTCTCAGACCATAAATTCTAAAATTGGGACATAAGATGTCCCTAAGATCTTTTAAACGCCTTTTTCGCAAAGATGTTTTTAAGGTGTCTTGTAGACGTTTTTAAGACGTCCCGATTTTGAACTTTATGTTCGTCATGTTGTCTGAATTATTACAAAAATATAACGAAAAAATAACAAATTGTTACTTTTCAAGTAACGATAACGTGTTACTTTTTACAATCAGTAACGTGTAACAGTAACAAGTTATCTTTTATAAAAAATAACGATAACGATTATTTTTAAGGTCACATTCCCAATCTTATAAATATGCAATTACGATTAGTGCAGAAGAAATAACATATTTTATTCACAAATCAGACATAAATGTAAAACTATAATGTAAGAATATAAATATTAATTAATCATACCTAGTTTCCATCGCCCATGATCTTCTCTAACAAGCTCAATTTTATTAAATAAATG